ACCGTTTTGGTTAAAGTAATATTTTATCTACGATTTTTATTGGATAAAAGGCAGCTTTAACTTTATAATGTAGCTATAAAACAATATTTGGTTGGTAATACATTTTTCTTGTTTATAGGATGCTAAACTAAATAGCAATTTTCCCCACTTCTTTTTTTTATTTTTCAACTTTTAATTTGGTTTAGTTTTCCTAAATTTTCCCAACATTTATTAAAATGGATATAGCCGGTTTTCCACGGATGCTCCTCAACTATGGTCTAGGTCTTTTAAATCAAATTTGCCTATAATTATAAATTTAGACAATATTTTTAAATAATGACTTATAATTCATACAATAATATAATAGTTTTTATTAAAATAATTATAAATTACACTATTTTTAAATACACTGCCCTACAAAATTATTGCATAATAAATAAAAAAAAATAACTCTAAAACGCCTTTACTAATCTTTATGAAATTTTGGATAAAAATATTCAACTTATATCTCAATTTACGTGTTCAAGGGTTTTTCGAGAAAATATGTTTAAAGCCTTTTTATTTAATAATGAAAATAAGTTCGAAAAATTACTTCTAGGGAATTTTTTTTAAATAAATAAAAAATATGCTGTTAAAAAGCGTATTTTTTTTAGTATACCCTGAAAATTTTGTACAAATCAAGCGAACAGTAACGAAGATACAGCGCGCTTCAAAGTCGTGAAAAATGACCACTTTTCAGCAAAATAATCAAAAAGGCGTCATTTTTACCGACTTTGAAGCGCTGTATATTCGTTAATGTTTGTTTGATTTGTACAAAATTTTCAGGGTGTACTAAAAAATACGCTCTTTAACAACATATTTTTTATTTATTTAAAAAAATTCCCAAAAAGTTATATTTCGAACTTTTTTTCGTATATAATACCACTAGTGGTAAAATTTTACCGATAAAATTTTTGATTTTTATACGAATGTTTTTTTCTTGGAAATTTCGCAAGTGGCATTAATTTTTAAGACCACGAGCCGCTAGGCGAGTGGTTTGAAGTTAATGCCACGAGCGAAATTTCCAAGGAAAAATCTTGAGTAAATAAAAATCAAAAATTTTTTCAGGGAAAATTTTATCACGAGTGGTATTCGGCAAGACTATTTCACGAATATTTTTAACTGCTGATTCAATTTCTGTATGATTTTTTGGACCAAAACGCATATTTTTTAACATTTTAATTTTAAAATTAAAAACGTCAACAGTGACAATTATTTTTATCATAGCAACCAATTGGTTGTTATGCAACTCGTATAAACGAGTGGTTTTTTCACCTGAATAGTAGTTTTATCGCTGCAAAACTGAAAAAACCACTCGTTTTCTGAAATCTGATTGGTCCAAAAAGTAATGAGTGGAATAGTCATTATTAAATAAAAAGGCTGTAAACATATTTTCTCGAAAAACCCTCTAACACGTAAATTGAGATACAAGTTGAAATATTTTATCCAAAATTTCATAAAGATTGGTAAAGGCGTTTAAGAGTTAATTTTTTTATATTTATTATGCGATAATTTTGTCGGGCAGTGTATTAAAGTATACGTCATTATTTAGATTGTTTAGAATTTTTGGTGTATTTAAATCTAATAATTTAAAAAAAAACTAGATGTCTTTATAATTCATGAAAAAAATATTCAGTCAGTTTCACTTGTTTTGATTCCCATTTAAGTTTTACTCAAAATTACTTAACCTCAACAATAATTCTTATAATAATTATAATTATTGATATATTTGTATATTTTTTATTAACATATGGAAATATATTTTTTAAAGGCTTAACTTTTAAACAAAAACGAATCGCATCCATGTCATTTAAGAAAAAATGTTTATAATTAACCCAGCTATCATCTGACAAAGTTTGCCATAGAGCTTGTAGAGCACCCTGTATAAGATATTTAAACCTTTTCAAAATTATGATGTATAAACAAAAAAATGAAATGTTTATACCTACTTATACCTAGGTACCTAAATTCAACAATACTTTTAAATATAAAAATTTGTATAATATAAGTAATTATAATTTAACGATAATTATTATTATAATAATTATAATTCAACAATATTATTAAATATTTAAGTATACCTAGGTCATTATTTAAGAAAATTGTTAATTTTAAGTATCGTCTTTAAATCAAATTTGCCTATAATTATAAATTTAGACAATATTTTTAAATACTGACTAATTAATTTATTAATAAAATAAATAAATAAAGTTTTTATTGCATATTCAGTACAATACAGAACATATAATACAAAACATACAAAAGGCCATCGACCGGGGTCCTTCAGCCTTTTATTAATAATTATTATTATAATAATTTTTATTATAATAATTATAATTCAACAATATTATTAAATATTTAAGTATACCTACGTCATTATTTAAAAATATAGGTTAAGTTTAGGTATAGTCTAGGTATTTTAAATCAAATTTGCCTATAATTATAAATTTAGACATTGGCAACACCGCAGGGCTTCTGATACACAGCGGAGTGTGTCTCTTGTTGTTTATGCACCAACGAACAGTTAACCGCCCCGTCCCGCATTACCGGGCTTCGACTAGCCAGTGTAATGCACCGGGCTTCGTATTGATAGCCGTGCATGTATATATATATATATATATAATATATATATTATATATATACTTAAGGGTGCTTCAAAAAAAAATATTTTTTTCGCTCTTATCCTCTCAAATGTTTTTATTTAATATAAAAAACCCTCACCAAATATGGGCGTTCCAGCTCAACTCTAAGAGGTCGCTCTTCTTATTTTAGTTCCTCCTCTGTATCAAAGTAACTTTTTGCAATGATCATTGCAGTTTATTATATAAAATGTAACGCTCTACAAAAGAGGTCTCTTATTATTTTTCGATAAAGCCAAAGTAGCCGTAGCCGCTTCAGTCGCCTACGGCGCCCCAATAGCCCACTACGCTCACGCGGCTCCAGTTATTTCCTACGCTGGTCCACTACAATCTTACTACCACCACTAAGTTTTATGATTTAGCAGTCGTTGTGAATATCGTGTACCTATATTTATTTGTATTTATTAAATAAATTGTGTTTTCCTTTATTTAAATTTTGCTGAAAAGATAATATTTTTAAAATTGTAGAATTGTATAAAATCTTTTTAAAATTAAAATATCAATTTACATTATTAACAGTTTTTTATTTGGACAAAGCATTTTATTCAGAAAAAAGGAAAGTATGGACTAATGACAAGATGGCTAAAGCTATACAAATTATTAATGTCTCTGGGCTCAACTGGACTTTTGTTTTTTGCCAGTTTGTTGATCTCGTGTAAGATTAATAATACTCCTATTTCATAATCTTTTTCCGTATATAATAATAAACATTATATATTGCTTTTTAATATATTCAGCATCTTGTCCATTACTCCATTAGTCCATAATTTCCGTTTTTCTGCACCGAAACATTTTGGTAGTAAAAATCCAAATTTCCATATGGCTTTGCTCGCCTGGCTCTAAGGAAAAATAAGTCATCTATATAGAAAATAGCGGTCATCTATATAAATTAATGTGTTTTGTTTGTCCCGCTTTTGTCATCAAAGTTCGTTCATCTGTTAAATACATTCAAAAATGGCGAATGCGTCGGGATTAAAACTGAATTTTGGAGTGTGCCAATTTCAAAAACTCAAGTACTAAATTAACTATCACCAATAAAGTCCACATAAAAAACTGTTAATAATGTAAATTTGTAATATGGATAATATTTATTTGTATTTATTAAATAAATTATAATATTTTAACCAAATATTTATTTAAATATTGGTAAAGTATAAAAAATAATACATATCTCATTTAATAAAAAAATGTAATTTTATTTTATTTAAAATTCAAGAATTGTTTAATTTCTTTCATTGGTTAAAATAAAAATATTATATTTGTTTAAAATAACATAATTTATTCAAAAAATACAAATAAATAAGGTACACTGTATTCATAGCAATAGCTAAATCATAAAACTTAGTGGTGGTAGTAAGATTGTATTGGAGAGGCTTGAGCGTAGTGGGCTACTGGGGCGGCGTAGGCGACTGTAGCGGCTACGGCTACTTTCCGGTGTGTGGGTCGTTTACGGAGTAGCCGAAGTCGTAGTTGGCTGGAGCTTCAGCTACGATGGTCTTTTGGATTGGAGCATAGGCTACGTGGGCGACTGGGGCGGCATAGGATGCTACGGCTGGGGCGGCATAGGTGTGAGTGTAAACTGGAGCAGCGTGAGCTAGTCCCAAAGGAAAGCCGATAGGGCTAGCACTGGCTACGGCTACGAAGACGGCGAATATTACAAGCTAAAGAATAAAAAATATAGTTAGCAAAATGTTTTCCTATAGTGTTTAATACCTACTTTGAATGCCATGTTTATTGAATTTATTGATATGGTAATGTTTCAAACAGTTTATATATTAAATTTTCAAACAAAATTTAGAGTAGAGGTGGTTTAAAAGGTTTAATAACAAGTTGTTAGGTAGTTGTGCTTTCGCTAGATCAACTCAAAGAAAATATTGTAAAATATAGTTGTCTTTTTAAGAAATACTTGTTATGACCCAATATTACTTGTGGTCTACTCAAAACTGTTAATTTAGTTGGTATTATCATAAAAATTATAATTAATATTTTATATTTACTGAATAAACCACTTGAGATATTTCGTAAATAGTTTATAATAACAAGGTATAGTACACACTTAGGTTATTGTCTTAATTAAATCTAATTAATCAACATCAAGTTCATTCAATATTGGCAACTTTTAATAGAATACCTACATAATATTTATTAATTACCAAAATATTAATAAAATACCTGAATTTAGACCTGGGCCAGTAAAAGTAGTTGTTAAACTAAACCTACTTATTAAATTAAAAGATTAAGAATTCGACACTCCACCCATTGCGTTGCATTGATTTTTAAAATCATATAAAAGGAATAATTCAATTTTTAAAAACATATACATCACAGCTTTGGACAAACAACATGGCATTCAAAGTAAGTTTTAATGCCTTTGGGAAAAACATGTTTTATAAAGTAATATTTAATTTTTAGTTCGTAGTATTCGCCGCCTTCGTAGCCGTAGCTCGTGCCGGAGCTATCGGTTATGCCGCCGCTCCAGTGGCTTACTCTGCCCCCTCAGCCGTAGCTACCTCTTACTCTTCCATCGCTCACTCCGCTCCAGTAGTATCCAAATACGCCGCCGCTTCAGTCTACACTCAATCCTACGCCGCCCCAGCTTACACTCACGGATACGCCGCCCCTGCCGTAGCCACCTATGCCTCCCCAGTCGCCCACGTAGCCTACTCTCCAGTCCAAAAGACCATCGTCGCTGAGGCTCCAGCTAACTACGACTTCGGTTACTCCGTAAACGACCCACACACCGGAGACAGCAAATCTGCCCAAGAAACCCGTCACGGAGACTCCGTACAAGGATCTTACTCCCTCATCGAGGCTGATGGCACCAAGAGAACCGTAGAATATACCGCTGACGGACACAACGGATTCAACGCCGTAGTTCATAAAGAACCAGCTCATGTAGCCGTCAAAGCCGTAGCCAAAGTAGCTGTAGCCGCTCCAGTCGCCTACGCCGCCCCAGTAGCTCACTACGCTCACGCCGCTCCAGTAGTATCTCACTCTTTCGCCTCTCCAGTCATTTCCTACGCTGCTCCAGTACAATCTTACTACCACCACTAAATAGTGTTTTAGTTGTTCTGAATGCTATGTTAAAATTTATTTGTAAATAAAAAATGTGAAAATATGTCTGTAGTTTACTTTCCTCTTTGAATGAATTAATTAACGAAATAATATTTTACTTTTAACATACTTTAATTAAAACTTATCCGACAAGTGCTCACCTTTTATACTCATCTAACTTACTTACTTTTTTCATTAAGACATTTAAACCGGAAAATTATTTGATTCAAAACATTCAATTATACCGAAGTACCTACAGTAGAAGACATAAAAAGACTTTTCTAAGAATTTAATTTGGTTTTTTATTTTTTAAAAATAATGTTAATTTACATGAAAAATACATAGGTTAAGCAAAACTGTTGAACAATTATAAAGATTTGAGTAAATAAACAGTGTTAATAATTCCATAACAAAAAATAATTTTTACTAAATTATGCCCATTTAATTTATTAATAAATTAAATGGGAAGAATTTAGTAAAAAGTTTTAATGGAATTTAAAGAACAATCTACTATTTTTTGTTTTAATAGTTTTTTTAATTTACAGAAATGGTTTCCCCACTTAATAGATATTAAATATGTGAAAAATAAATTCAGTCCTGTCCATATGAAATTAACAAATTTAATTTAAAGAGGTTTCTGATAAAATTTATTTTTTTATTATTTTTTTACCTCTGGTTTTATTTTACTAAAAGTGTTAAAAACAGGTATTCATTAATTGTTCAGTTTGTTTGTAACCTGAAATGTTATATTGGTGCTTTAGCCTATTTTGCATTTTACAGAGGTTTGCTTTAAACCCTGTAGCTTCTTGGCTTATTAAAAACTGTTTAAATATATTTAGTTTTCAAAATAAAAAATTTCTCTTTTACAATCAAAATTATTAAAGATAAAACTAAGACTCACCTTCATTTTTTTTCTGGATATAGTCTTTATCCTATATCACTAAAAAGGGCCATAGAGTTGTATCTCTTTTTAATGGGTCTTCAAATATTGTAATTGATCTAATATAGGGTATTTTCAATCTGAAATATATGGGACACACTTTAGAAACAATGGTTACAATCGCTGAGACTTTATTAGTGATTAAGTTAGACATTTTTAAAATAGCTAAATTTGAATTCGTCTTGAATCGGGTGTTTTCAATCTGAAATTTTTCGGTGGATAGGTAATGTATTATAAAAGAAGTACCTACCTATATTTAGATTTTTTAAAAAATGGAAAGTATGGACATGGATAAAGCTAAAAAAAGGTCTCTTGGGGTTTGGGCTCATAATAACTGGCTGGCCTTGAATTCGCCAATTGGACTTCTGGTTTTTGCCAGTTTGTTGATCTCGTAAAAGATTAATAATACTTTATTAATTCCTATTGCAAAATTTTAAGTTTTTTCACATAAAATGATAAGAGCCCTGACTAACAACGGGAATTATGAACTTATTATTCCCATTGCTAGGCATCAGTGATTGGCCGATTTCAGTATACGCGATGATTTGGACCAATCGGGTTTTAAATTGGGAGATGACGACTATGATGAATGATATTTAAAAATTGTTAGAAACTGAGGTTAACCGTCTGACAGATGTCAGATTTTATTAATTTATTTTTGAACATTATATAATTAATTATCTAATAACACTGTAGGGAGGTGAAAATATCAAACACGCTCGGATACGTAAACTTAATTTATAGTCGTAGATAACAAATCCGTGCTTGGTTTAGCTGTATCAGGTCAAAATTGAAAGATATTGCAAACACCCTGTATAAATTTAAACACCATGTATAAATTTTATAAAAATTCATATTTGCTGCATGGACCCTCACATCAGTTCCAAATATAAAAAAAAACAAATTCTTCAAAATTTGAAGTTAATTGATCAAAAGTAACACGTGTCCTTAAGGGTTTTTCTTAGATAATTTTGGAAATTCAAAAAAAAAAATTGCCATTTTTTTTATTGAGTATAATTGAGGATATTTTATTAAATGAAATAAAAAGCATAGGAATGTTGGCACAAGAAAAATATATTATAATATACCAGTATACAGTGTGTCCCCGTATCGGATTTCCAATAGGAAAAACTTTTTTAGACCTGATACAGCTAAACCCAGCACGGATTTGAAATCTACGACCAAAAATTATGTTTACGTGTCCGAGCGTTTAGCTGTGATATTTCAAGGGTTAAAAATTTACCTTCAGTCTAATTGGAGTAGATAAATAATAATATTACACTAAACATTATGCGCATTATCTCTAGTATAATCATATACTAATTTTAAGGCTCTGCTTGTGACCTGTAAAGAGGCCCAGTTGCAGAGGGTAGGTATACCTTGATATATCAACAATTGATGAGTACATTTTAAATTAATTTTATTAGTAAACACAACATAAAAAAGCGCTGCTCTAAATTTGGGATTTTACGATGTTTTGGTTGGTAATTATCCCTTATCGTCTTTAGGTTATAACTAACAATAACAGTGTGGTGTGGTTACCTTTATAAAGCATATGCTATATACCCCTCCCAAATAACTCTAGTTTGACAACTTTTCAAAATTAAAAAAATGGAATTTTTTTTTCTACGACCACTATGTAAAAGTCACATTTTGTGATGGCATCGTTGCTTAGAAAATGAATATTTTCATTTGCAAGGCAAAACACGAATTTAAAGTGATATTTCAGTGTGAAAAGTGATAGGTCTATGTGAAAATAACTTGACAGCATCGTTTGACATTTGTTTCAAAATTTGTATTGTATTTGTATATGTACAATGTACATTGTACATATATAAATACAATACAAATTTTGAAACAAATGTCAAACGATGCTGTCAAGTATGTATGTCTAAATATCCATTAGAACACAATTAATTGTGTTTGTATAATAAATTCTAATTTTTAGTGCCTTTATTTAAATTGAGAAGGTAAGTTTATTGTTTTATAAATAAGTTATTTTGTTTTGTATTTTAATATAATAAAAATAAAAGGGTCGTAGAAAAAACATTGTATTTCACTTGTGAGAAAAGCTTTCTTCAAGCTCGTGTTAATGCACACTCAGTCTGACGGCCTCGTGAGGAACTTGTAAAACAAATAACTACCTATTTCATTTTAAGATGCCGATTTGCACCTTGATTATGCACCATTCAAATTGTAAAGGAAGAACGTTTATATGAACAGGGACGCCAGCAACCTCATCATCTGTTACCACAGAGAAAATGGCAAACTAACGCGTTTTGGTCGTCCAAAAACGTATGATAGAATTGAAATAGTGGCGCAGTTGCACATCATATAAACTCCCCTGAATCGGTGGTATGGAATGATATTTTACCCTTGCCATTTACAGCAGAATCACTATTTTGATTGGCTTTTTGGCAATGCTTTTTGTGTCGAAATTTAATGGAACTTTAGTTTGGGAGAATGGTATTATTTTCCAATAATGCTTGTTTTACCTTTGATGGTTATTTTAATAGCTAAGACAGCTACATTCATAATGATACAAACCTTATGCTATGACTTCTAGAAAACACCAGCAAAAATTTCCGGACGCATGTGGGCTGGTATGATTGCAGAAAAACTAATAATTTACGTGCTGCCTGCTCGTTTAAAGTCAAACATTTGCATTAATATTTATGCAAAATCTTTTACCGGATTTATTAGAAAACGTTCCTTTAAACTTTATAAACAGCTTGTAGTTTTAACATGACAGGGCACCTCCACACTTTGGTATAAACATGCGCCAGTATCTGGTCCATCAATTTCCCAACCGATGGATTAAAACAGGAGGTCCCGAATCCTGGCCTGCGCTTTCACCATAACTAAACCCACTAAATTTTTTCCTTTGGGGTTATCTAAAAAGTTTAGTCTATCCGACACCTATTCTGAATGAGGAAGATCTTTTAGAAAGAATAATGGCTGCTTGTACACATTCTCTAAAATTGAATTAGTCAAAAATGACGAGTTTTCAAACTGATAAAGCAGTCACTAATAACTGTAGTCCACAGCAATTTCTATATCTTAAAAGTTTAGTCTATCCGACACCTATTCTGAATGAGGAAGATCTTTTGGAAAGAATAATGGCTGCTTGTACACATTCTCTAAAATTGAATTAGTAAAAAATGACGAGTTTTTAAAGTGAAAAAGCAGTCACTAATAACTGTAATCCACAGCAATTTGTATACCGGACATTTAACAGCCAATTCTTATGTTAAATTGTCCGCTGAATCCGAAAATGTAAAGTAAAGCAGTTTTGAAATATAGTCAATTTCATATTATATGAAAAATTGTATATTTTTCAAAAACTATTGTACTTTTATATTTTTTGGCGACATTTTTGGATTCAGCGGACAATTTTACATAGGAATTGACTGCTAAATGTTAGAGAAACAAATTGCTTTTGACGATAATTATTAGTGGCTGCTTTTTCGCTATGAAAGTCATTTTTGACTAATTCATTTTAAAAGAGCATGTGAATGCTATTTCTGGGTTCTTCCATAGGGTCCGTTAGTCAATGAACCGACAATGCAATCTTTGTGTTTAAGGGACATTCCACGTTACTCGGAAATTTCTGTCCCGCCCGTGACAATTAAAAATTGTGAGTAAAAACCACAAGTTATTAAATTATTATTTTTATTGTGCATAACAAACAATATTTGAAAATAAATTTAATAACGTGTAGTTTTTACTCACAATTTTTATTGTGACGGGCGGGACAAAAATTACCGAGTAACGTGGAATGCCCCTTAAGTAAGTATGAACAATTATTAAAAAATAGTAGTTTGTTAGTTGGTACCATTATTAATTATAATTAATTATTTGATTAAACATAGTTACCAAAACCATTTTTTTCTGTCAAAACGGCCAATTTATAAATTCGATTAATATTTATTTGAATTTTTTAAACAAATTAAATTATTTTAACCAAATATTTATTTAAATATTGGTAAAATAAAATCCAAATACGAGCATTCGCATACCTACCTATCTCATTTAATAAAAAAATGTAATTTTATTGTTGTTAAAATTGAAGAATTGTATAATTTCTTTCATTGATTTAACATAAAAATATTATATTTGGTTAAAATAATATAATTTATTCAACATACACAAATAAATATAGGTACACTGTATGCATAACAATAGGTAAATCATAAAAGTTAGTGGTGGTAGTAAGATTGTACTGGAGCGGCGTGAGCGTAGTGGGTTACTGGGGCCGCGTAGGCGACTGGAGCGGCTAGGGCTACTTTGGCTACATGAGCTGGTTCTTTGTGTACTACTGCGTTAAAGCCGTTGTGTTCGTCAGCGGTATATTCTACGGTTCTCTTAGTACCGTCAGCGTCGATGAGGGAGTAAGATCCTTGTACAGAGTCTCCGTGACGGGATTCTTGGGCAGATTTGCTGTCTCCGGTGTGTGGGTCGTTTACGGAGTAGCCGAAGTCGTAGTTGGCTGGAGCTTCAGCTATGATGGTCTTTTGGACTGGAGCATAGGCTACGTGGGCGACTGGGGCGGCATAGGTGTGAGTATAGGCTGGAGCAACGTGAGCTGCGGTGGAGTAAGAAGATAGTCCCAAAGGAAAGCCAATAGGGCTAGCACTGGCTGCGGCTACGAAGGCGGCGAATAATACAAACTAAAGAACAAAAAATATAGTTGACAAAATGTTTTTTAATAGTGATCTAATACCTACTTTGAATGCCATGTTTATTGATTTGATTGGTATGGTAATGTTTTAAACAGTTTATATAATAAATTTGGAGACAAAATTTAGAGTAGAGGTGGTTTAAAAGGTTTAAAAACAAGTTTTTAGGTAGTTGTGCTTTCACTAGGTCAACTCAAAGAAAATATTGAAAAATATAGTTGTCTTTTTAAGAAATACTTGTTATGACCCAATATTATTTGTACTCAAAATTCCTAATATAGTAAGTATTCCATTATCATAAAAATTATAATTCATATTTTAGATTTACTTAATAAACCACTTGAGATATTTCGTAAATAGTTTATAATAACAAGGTGTAGTACACACTTTATTTACTTAACAGGTTATTGTCTTAATTTAATCTAATTAATTAACATAAGTTTATTCAATATTGGCAACTTTTATTAACACACAAACCACTCCACCCATTCCCTTACACTGATTTTTAAAATCATATAAAAGGAACAATTAAATTTTTAAAAGCATATACATCACAGCTTTGGACAAACAACATGGCATTCAAAGTAAGTTTTAATGCTTATAGAAAGAACGTGTTACATAAAATAAATATTTCTTTTTTAGTTCGTAGTATTCGCCGCCTTCTTAGCCGTAGCTCGTGCCGGAGCTATCGGATATGCCACCGCTCCAGTGGCTTACTCCGCCGCCCCAGCCGTATCTACCTCTTACTCTTCCATCGCTCACTCCGCTCCAGTAGTATCGAAATACGCCGCCGCTCCAGTCTACACTCAATCCTACGCCGCCCCAGCTTACTCTCACGGATACGCCGCCCCTGCCGTAACCGCCTACGCAGCCCCAGTCGCCCACGTAGCCTACGCTCCAGTCCAAAAGACCATCCTCGCTGAGGCTCCAGCTAACTACGACTTCGGTTACTCCGTAAACGACCCACACACCGGAGACAGCAAATCTGCTCAAGAAACCCGTCACGGAGACTCCGTACAAGGATCTTACTCCCTCATCGAGGCTGATGGCACCAAGAGAACCGTAGAATATACCGCTGACGAACACAACGGATTCAACGCCGTAGTTCATAAAGAACCAGCTCATGTAGCCTTTAAAGCGGTAGCCGCTCCAGTCACGTACTCCGCCCCAGTAGCTCACTACGCTCACGCCGCTCCAGTAGTATCTCACACTTACGCCGCTCCAGCCCTTTCCTACGCTGATCCAGTACAATCTTACTACCACCACTAAATGTTATTTTAGTTAATGTTTTGAATGCTATGTTAATATTTATTTTTAAATAAAAAATGTGAAAATATTTCTGTAGTTGACTTTCCTCTTTGAATTAATTAATTAACGAAATATTATTTTACTTTAATTAAAACTAATAGGACAAGTACTCACCTTTTGTACTTATATTACCACCTTTGAACCGGAAAATTATTTGATTCAAAACATATACCAAAGTGTCTACAGTAGAAGACATAAAAAGACTTTTCTAAGAATTGTTTTTTTTATTTTTTTTAATAATGTTAATTAGCATAAAAAATACATAGGTGAAGCAAAATTGTTATTAGAATATAAAAGGTACAGTAAAAATCAAGAACATTTATAAAGATTAGAGTAAATGAACATCAGTGTTAATTATTCCATAATATTAATAAATTAAATGGGCATAATTTAATCAATTGTAATTTTTTTCGTATACTTAATGGAACTTAAAGAACAATATACTATTTCTTTGTTTTAATATTTTTATAATTTACAGAAGTAGTTTTCCCACTTGGTAGATATTTAAATATGCGAAAAATAAATGTTTACGGGGTCATTCCATATCAAATTAACCTATTTAATTTAAAAAGGTTGCTGAAAAAATGTATTTTTTTTTAATTTTTTTTTTTTAAACAGGTATTCATAAATTGTTTTGTTTTTTTGTGAGCTGACATTTTATATTGGTGCGTTAGCCTATTTTGCATTTAACAGAAGTTTGGTTAAAACCCTCTAGCCTTTTTATTAAAAATTTTGAAATAAATTTAGTTTTCAAAATAAAAACTTTCTCCTTTACAATTAAAATTATTAAAGATAAAACTAAGACTCACCTTGAAATTTTTTTTCTGGATAAAGTTTTTATGGAATAGGCATTAGAGTTCTTTTTTAATGGGATATCAAATATTGATCTAATTGATCTAAAATCGGGTATTTTCGATCTAAAATATCTCAGACCCATTATAAAAGTCAAAGTTTCGATTAGTAATTATCCCTTATCGTCTTCAAGTATTAATTAACAAATAACAATATGCTATGAGCTTATACATACTTAAATTAAATTAAATCTAAGGTTGAGTGGTTCCATCGGTTGTTGGTTGGTTGTTGATTGGTTTTTATAATTTTTTTATTTCAACACTTGGATTGCTGAACGTATTTAGGTTATTTACTTTCTATAAAACTAGTGATCTTCCTTTCCTAATATTGTAGCTCTCTGTGTGTCCTGTGTTCTTTAAGTCTTGTTTCCTTTGGGTTGAGGTGTAGAATCCTTAACCCTTAAAACGAAACCAAGAAATTTACTCTGTTTAAACAAATCAAACATAGACTTTCTTCAACAACCACAGTAAGAAGCCTATTGACAAAAACAAAACTTGAATCCCAAAAAGACACAGAAAATTGCATTTACCAGGTACCATGTAAATGAGTCGTATATAGGGCAGACCAAGAGGCCATTGGAGACAAGATTCAAGGAAAAAAACATTTACACTGAGAGCTGAGACCGCAAGAATCAGTCTTTATGAAAAATAACTTAAGCAATCCCAGTGTTAAAATAAGAAATATATGGAAACAACTTACCAATCAACACAAAGCAACAGACCGTAGAAGTTAAACTAACCGTAAACCAACGTAGAAATCACCCAACGGATAAAACCAATCAACCTTACATTTCGTATATACAGGGTGATTTACCTAACTGATTCATTAAAGGTTTATAGAAAACTAAAAGATACATTATATAAAAAGGCTTTTGGCCAAAAAATTCCCTTATAAAAACTATAGTGAGATGGAGTGACTAAATAAAATATCTATTTTACCAACCTAACCCAACCAACATTTTATATTGATGTTTCTTTTAGTTAATTAATATTAATTGTAAAAAAAAACATTTTGATGTAGAATTTTTATTTGCGGGTATACATTTAACCAAAAAAAGTTGTAGTTTAGACCACGGTCTTATATATAAGACCGTTGTCTAAACTACAACTTTTTTTGGTTAAATGTATACCCGCAAATCGTATATATACGAATATAAGACCGTGGCGCAGATAACTTTTAAAGTAACAAAAAATCGTAATTTAAATATAAATAGGGTATATTTGTTAAAAAAAATTAAGTCTAAGATTTAGATGCATTCATAAAAAGTGGTGTTTGGCAGGGATTTTTTGTCGTGCTAAGATTCTGTCTTTAACTGGGATTACTACTTTTTTTTGTTAATACTAGCTACGCTTAAAAAAACATTTTTAGCTGTAGGTACAACTTAACTATAGTTGTCGCGGCGAATGTTTCAAATTGCGTCATCAAATTCTGAACCAAGCACAGACATTACAATTATTGTTGTTTTCTTTTACGTATATAATCCAAGGAACCTCTAGGTTAACCGTATGTCGAGAAATCGGTTTTTGACATTCGACATTGATGACGCAATTTGAAACATTCGCCGCGACGACTATATTCAACTTAGTTTTCGGAACACCCTTTATAAAATGCTTGTAAAAATTACCTATTATATTATATATAAATGCGATTTTAATGAAATTTGAAATGGAGATAGTTTGACATTCGGTGACAGACACTACTTTTTTTATTTATTTTTATTTTATTATATATTTTGGTAGGCGGCGGGGGCGGTGGTTTTTGGATTGGTTTAATGTTAGAAACACGCGAACGAAGCCGCAGGGAGACAGCTAATATTATTATAAAATACAGTTTAATTTCTTAAAAAAATATATCCACACATTTAAATTTAAAACATCCGCCGCGACGACTATATTCAAGTGCGCATTTTTCGGTACACCCTTTATAAAATGCTTGTAAAAATTACCTTTTTTTTTAATTTTTTGATTGAATGTACAGTTGTATTCATTAAAAAAGCGTACAAGAATTAGAATGAGAGAAAACTGTCAACATTATTGCGTAAAACCGGCTTTCCACTGACTTAAGTCACTATAACTGACAGTAGAAAATAAAAATGCCTCGTCAGTTAAAAAGGCTCAAATAGTATCAAGAATCGAAGAAGAATGGTCAATTCGTACCGTGGTATAATAGAAATAAAAAATCTATATTAAAAATTAATAATTTTTGTAATATTATTTAATTAACCTACGACGTCAATGCTCTTTATAACCTATAGTAATTATTTTAATGACTTATGTCAGTGATAAGCCGGTTTTAAGCAATAATATTATTTTGACAGTTTTCTCTCATTCTAATTCTTGTACGCTTTTTTATTGAATACAACTGTACTTTTCAGAAAAAAATACCAAAGTTCTATAATTTTTTTTAGTTTTTTTAAAAAGACCATCAATTTTTCATGTTCGTTTTTATTTTTTTTATGAAGAATACTTTTATACCATTTATTTTGCTTTCCCAAAGTGGGCCGACTTGTTTTTCTATTTTTTTTTCATTGTAAAACTTTTTTTATAGTAAAATCAATGTATGTACATTTACTTAACCATAGTTTTCTGATTATCTAACATTATCTAACGTTTTCATGACAAGTTGTGGCTTTATGACGTTTTAGTCACGGGCTGAACTTAGCAACGGTTTTTAGTCCCAGGATAAGGTTAGTTTTAAGTTAGTTGTCAGTTGTCAAATGTCATACAATCGTTAAAATAGAGTGCCCCTCTTGTAAAATAATACTAAACGTAAAAATTATGTTTAAGTATTAAATAGTTTTTCAATGCCAATATTTAAAAAGTTTATAGGAACATTGTAATTACCTTTTAATTTTGCCGGAACTAAACTAGATTTAACCAAATTTCGGGTGGAGACATGGAGTGCCAATAGAACATTTTCTCTACTTTTACTTTAAAAAATGCTTTTATATCGAATTAAACGGTCCATTTGCAAGGGATACATTTCGATTTAGATACAAACCTGGCATTATACAAATATTTAATTTAAATCATTTTTAGATAATAATCAGTATTTGTCGTAGAAAAAGTATTGTATGCAACTCATTTATAAACTTTTCTAGACCTAAATTAAATTCGTGTCTAAAATGGCGTTAATTAAACTTGATACATAATATACCATTACACTTAATTTATAATCTAACTTCGGGTGGAGACGTGGAGTGCCAATAAAACATTTTCTTAACTTTTACTGTAAAAAATGCTATTATATCGAATTAAACGGTCCATTTTCAAGGGATACATTTCGATTTAAGTACATACAAATTTGGCATTATACAAATATTTAATTTAAATCATTTTTACATACAAATTTGGCAATATACAAATATTTAATTTAAATCATTTTTAGATAATAATCAGTATTTGTCTTAGAAAAAGTATAGTATGCAAGTCATTTATAAACTTTTCTAGACACTCATTAAATGAAGCACTCGCTCGCAAGATTGCCTGTTCCTAAATTAAATTCGTGTCTAAAATGGCGTTAATTAAACTTGATACATAATATACCATTACACTTAATTTATAATCTAACTTAATATTTAATGATTACACAGATGGTTATCTTTTTGTCTGAAATTTTTCGAGTTCAAAAGTGTATAAAATATGTAAATTATTTAAAAAAGTTATTTATTGTTAGTAGCAAATAAAATATAAATAAGTAAATAAATACAAGTGAATTTTGACGTATTTTGTTTTAATAATTGTCATAAAACACTAGTGTCTTATAGATGAATTATAGGACACTAGAGTGTTATTACCTTCATAATGGTCAATGAACATTGGCCATACTAAAATTGCTATAAAAAATTAAATTATTGTTAATCTACTAACCATATAAAATTATAATTATTAATCATTAGGTTAGATTGTAAATTAAGTGTAAAATACTGTAAAATACATTTACTTAAATTGATTTTTTTTATAAAAACAAATAATTAAACGATTGGAAAAAAATTTTAAAAATAATTTTTTAATTAAAAAAAGTCGGCCCACTCTGGATTTAGCAATATTATTCGCAGAATTAATCGAAATTATAAGCAATTTAATTCGATTTAATTTGTTACGTGACAAATCGTGACGGTCCTTCAAACTCCAGCGTCACGAGATTTATGGACGGTCCCAAAGATGAAAAGAAAGTTATACTATTTTACAAAAATGTATAATGCAGTTAGATAGAATTAAAATTAAATATTTAATTATGGTTAATGTAATTTTTTTTAATTAATTTAAGGAATATTTTCTGTATTTAGATTATAATTAAAATATAAGACGATATCTAACAAACTATCTGACAAAATGGTTACCATATTTGTACATAATTTTCACTTTTTAAGTAGTGCATTTTTCAAACTGGTACTGTTTCATTTTCTTTTAAGTACTAATGGTACTAAGTTATTTCTTGACATATGTACACCTATGTTAAGTCAGATAAATGTTTATATTTTACTTTTATTTTTTTAATTAAAATTTGTTAATGGGTATCAAGTCTCAAATACATATTAATAATTTTTATATGTTTATTTTTTTTATAAATTTTTATTTACATGGCAATCACAGTAAGATAATTTAGTGGTAGTAAGAGTGAGCTGGGGCAGCAGCATAGGAAAGAGCTGGGGCTGCGTAGGATTGAGCGTAGACTGGAGCGGCGTGAGCATAAGCTGGGGCGGCATGAGCGTAGGCTGGGGCGGCGTGAGCTACGGTGGAGTAAGAGGTGGCTACGGCTGGAGCAGCAGAGTATTTGGCTACTACTGGAGCGGCGTATTGGGCTACTGGCGCGGCGTAATGGGCTACTGGGGCGGCGTATTGGGCTACTGGAGCGGCGTAAGCGACTGGAGCGGCTACAGCTAATTTGGCTACGGCTTTGACGGCTACTTGAGCTGGTTCTTTGTGTACTACGGCGTTGAATCCGTTGTGTTCATCAGCGGTGTATTCTACGGTTCTTTTGGTGCCATCAGCATCGATGAGGGAGTATGATCCTTGTACGGAGTCTCCGTGACGGGTTTCTTGGGCGGATTTGCTGTCTCCAGTATGTGGGTCGTTTACGGAGTAGCCGAAGTCGTAGTTGGCTGGAGCTTCAGCGACGATGGTCTTTTGGATTGGAGCGTAGGCTACTTTGGCGACTGGGGCAGCGTAGGCGGCTACGGCAGGGGCAGCATAGGTGTGAGCGTAAGCTGGGGCGGCGTAGGATTGAGTATAGACAGGAGCGGCGGCGTATTTGGCTACTACTGGAGCAGAGTGAGCGATGGAAGAGTAAGAGGTGGCTACAGCTGGAGCGGAAGAGTAAGCCACTGGAGCGGCGGCGTAACCGATTCCTCCGGCACGAGCTACTGCTACAAAGGCAGCGAATACTACGAACTGAAATTAAGAAAAATTTTAGAAACACTGTCACTTTATGAAAAAAACTATTTTACATTGTTGCACTCAAAAACACTAAAAATGCACTTTTAGTAGTGAAATACTCACTTTGAATGCCATGTTTGATTGCACTGGTTGAGAAGTGTATACTTATCAAATTTTGAGTCGTCCTTTATATACGGATTTTTAAGATCATTCGTGGAAAGAAGTGGTGGTGCATAGCAGGTACGCTGTGCGGGATTTGACTTTGAGCAGCATTGTGTTACTTTCACTGAAACTGAAGTTCACCACCAATTTTTAATGTATCGATGTTAAACGATATATGTTGGAAACGTATGTAATACGAGTTCGCAATATTTATGCTAATTAATTGGATCAAGTTGTGAATTGCCGAAAAGTTTTTAATTAATGCAATTAAAATTGTTGCTGTTTTTAATCCACTTACCCTAATTAATTAAGGAGAAATTATGACAACACATTCTAATTTATTTTCCATTAACGTAATATTTAAATTATTAAATTATTATTATTAATTTATTGTGTCTTTATTTTAAGTTTAAAAATCTTTTTTTATTGAGAAGCGTTATGTAAAGAATATATTTAAAATATTTTTTGTATCAGTAAATTGCAAAATGACTTGTCACGAGTAAAAAAAAATTATATCCAACTCTAAAACGCCTTTTCCAATCTTTATAAAATTTTGGATAAAAATACTTTAACTTATATCTCAGTTTACGTGTTCAAGGGTTTTTCGAGTAAATATCCTTAAAGCCCTTTTATTTAATAATAAAAAACGCTCAAAAAAAAAACTTTTATAGGGAATTTTTTTTTAAGTAAATAAAAAATATCCTTTGTTAGTAAACCCTAAAAATGTTGTACAAATTAAACGAACAGTAACGAAAATACAGCGCTTCAAAGTCGGCAAAAATGGCCATTTTTCAGCAAAATATTCAAAAAGAGGTAATTTTTACCGACTTTGAAGCGCCGTATCTTTGTTACTGTTCGTTTGATTTATACAAAATTTTTAGGATATACTAACAAAAATACGGTCTTTAACACCAAATTTTTAATTTACTTTTTAGAACGTTTTTTTATTATTTAATTAAAGGGCTTTAAAAATATTTTTTTGAAAAACCCAAGTAAACTGAGATATAAGTTGAAGTATTTTTATACCAAATTTCATAAAGATTTGTAAAGGCGTTTTAGAGTTAGAATTTGTTTACTTAATTTTAATTTTGAAGGGCAGTGTAGATTTAGATATTAAAAGTTTTAGACTAAAAATAAAAAAAATCGAAATGTTTTTGCAATGACCCAATTTAGAAAATTTAGTATGTTACTCCAGTGACGTAGCTACCATGGATATCGATAATGTTACCCCAAGAATGAAAACTCTTAAAATATATATAATATATAGTAGTAATGCATTTTACACCCAATCAACCACTTTTGAGCTCAACCCCTTTTGATTTGGCTGATTTTTTTTATATTATATCATCCCACTAAAAACGTTTGTGTGAATAAATAATGTTTTTTCTTGTTAATTTAAATTAAAGTAGAAAATTTTTTTAACCCTATTATTTTTAAACTTGTCTCACCCGCCACATAATAATGTCCCACCTGTTACATTTTTAATATCGCATTATATTTTTTAATACATCAAATCAACATGTTTTTTTTTTATTTTCTAAACGCACTAGTACATAGACTTATGTAAGAACAAAACATAATAGCTTTGTTCGCGGAGCCCATCCATGACTAGTTCCGTATCTGTATAGGGTAAATAATCACGAACCATGCTACGCATGCGCGATTCGGAACCGATCAAGAATTAACAAATCTCCGCGAACGCGTTTCTAACCCCAACCATCAGTCAGCTGTTTTGTGACAAAACTTTTTGGGGAATCTCCTTCCTGATAATTATAGTATTCAGAATTGCTAAATCGCTCTGCTAAATCATCAACAATCTCTTAGCTAACTCGAAAATGCTCCCTAAATAGCTGATCATCGAACATGGGAACAATTTCTTCAAAATATGCAGTATTTTTAGGAACTTCAATTAAATCTAAACTATTTTCTAAATCTTCATCACTGGATGATAGATGATCACTCATCTATAAAATAAGCAAGGAAATGAACAATGCAAGTAAAAAATAAGTATTTCAACTTACGTTTTCGTTTAACAATTTAATTAAAAACAATAAAGAACATATAACCTAAAATAAACTTTAAACAATAATGAACAATACGCATGTCTGACAGCTAGTACATGCTAAAATCCTCGGATCGTTTTGACTTGTCAGTAATTAGTTCGAAACTGGTCCCGAAGGCTCCGCGAAGGAGTGATCAAATGTCAAATGTTGCCGATTTTTACACCGCGAACGCTAAAATTGCCAGTGCGCATGCGCAGTTGTCGCGGATTGATCACGGATGAGCTCCGCTAACAAGGCTATTATGGTTTTGTATAATTTAGCAGAAATTGGCTTCTAAAAAATTAGTCATTAAATATCGTTTTTTGCTTGTCCCACCCGTCACAATAAAACATTACTTTATAAAACTAAAAAAGTCTATAAAACTAAATAGTGTTAAAAAAAAACTTTTATTGTTTATTTAAATGTTGTATGGGTGTTAAGAAATATCAGGGTTCCATGGATAAAAAAGCTTACAATTATAAAATATAAATTGAATAAACATATACAAATTAGTAAAAGTGTCCCACCCGTCACATCGAATGACCCAAAGGCAAAAAGAGGTAAAAGGGACGAGAAACCCGGACGTCTAGGTAAAGAAATTTGCCTGAAATTTGAAAAATCTGGTGTCCAGATGAAGCGAGAGACGACGTTTGAGGTATACGAAGCGTGAAATAAAAGTCAATAGAATAATAATAAAATAAAACAAATCAATAAATGTTTTTAGACAAATAACAATTTAACACAATATAATAAAACCTATTTTAGTCCTAGCTGCTATTATTTATTATTGGTTTGATTAAAAACATATGTTTGCCATTTATGAAGCTTGTTTTTAATAAAGCATTTTGGAAAGGATATTCCATCAAGTTCAAAGTACTTATAATTTGGCGTATCCTGCTTATCCCAAATGAATTATAATTTAAAATATTCTTTATTGATCCGGTCGAACCGGAAGTTACATTTTGTTTAAAATATTTTAGAAAAATAGGCTTAATTGGGTTATAAACGCTTTAAAAATTTTAAATCGATATCTTTTGCCGTTCCTCAGAAACTTTCAATGAACCACGAACGTGAAACACAGTAATTTCGTTAATGTGCAACACCCTGTATATAATTGGAATAATTTGAAAATAAATAAATAATTTTAATGTTTGTCCATTAATTCAGTGAATAAATTTTTCATAAAAATATACAGTCTAGCTGTTATCGAAGCTGGTATATTATGTGCCGAATACCGTGGATAACATTTTATTAGATCGCACTTTAAAAAATGATCTGAAAAAACGGCGAGACATTGGTATCATTTTTTAAGTCTATTTTCAAAATCCATAGGAATTTTTTAAGATAGGGAAAAAACAAATTTTGTTGTACTGTTATGAGCTAAGGTTCACTAAACCGTGAACGGATACAGTTTACTAAACTGTGGACCGTAAACGCTTTAGTGAACACGTAAAGATAAACTAATTTACACAAACTAGAGTTGGGTACAGATCCGTTATCGCTATTTAAAGATTTATTTCTATTCCTATAGATGTATAAACTTTTATAACTATCTAGCAGACTTGGTTCCTTAACTCCCTTAATAAGTTTAAGGTTGTAAAATCCTATTCTATGATCATCATCAAGTATATGTTGGGCAACACTCGATTTCTCTGTCCTACTAAATCTAGCATGGGCCAAGTGCTCTTTAAACTTTACTTGGATGGATCGTTTAGATGGTCGAACATATTTCTTGTCACAATCTTGACAGTTTATTTCGTATATCCACGACTTTTCAATTTTAGGAATCTTATCTTTTGGGTTGCCTAAAAGGGTCTGGGGTGTGTTACTGCTTGAACTATAAGGAATTTTAAAGTCCAGTTTTCGAAAAATCCCTTTCAGACCTCGAGTGTACTGGGGTGCGAAAGGAATGGTCATAAACTTGACTTTTGTGTGCTCTGTTTAAAAAATCGTTAACCTAGAAAGGCGAGACTTAAATTTAATTTTATGTACTAACTAGAGTGGGTTCAAAACCATCGTCTCTACCAATTTTTTTATAAAACTGAGCTCTATCTTGTATCTTCTATTACTAAGTGAAAAGTTTACCAACCTTCGAACAAGAAAGTTAAAACTAGCCTGCTTATGTTGTGTGCAGTGGTTCGAGTCTGAAGTGATGTAACGTGCAGTGCTTGTAGGTTTTCTGTAGATATCGAACTCTAGAGTATTGTTAGATTTAATCACTAGGGTATATAAAAATGGTAGTTGTCCATCTTTTTCCAATTCAAAAGTAAATTTAAATCTAAGCTGCAAGCGTTTTGATCGAAAATAGCAAAGATATCCTCCACGTATCTTAACCAAATCCTCGGAAAATACCAGGAGCTACTAAGTTCCTTATCAAAGTGGCTCATGAAAAGATGAGCTAAGGACAAGAAGTTCCCCATAGCAGTCCCTCCATGCTGTTTATAGCAACCGTTGACTTGGAAACAGTTTTGCCGATTGCAGGCTGATGCTAACTTCAAGTACTCAGCAACATTATCATTGGAAAAACTAGTTTCTTTAAGTAAATCCTCTAGATAAGCCAAGGAAGGAAATTGTGTTTACTTTCAGGAAAATCTCAATATTGTAAAACCAAAAATAGAAATCTATAATATGTATTTAAATAAATTATATTATCTATTCATAATTTCATAAACTTGTTCTGGGATAAACAAAATTATTTGCAAAATAACTCATTTTTGGGATTTGGGAACCTTCTTAATCCTTTTGAGAAAAGTTCCAAATGATAATTAATCTTTTGAGCAATATTAAATATGAGTTATTTTACAAAATAATATTACGCCCAGAAAAACTTTTTGGCGCATGGTTTTCGATATTATTATAATTATTTAAAATTTTAATCAGTTAACATATTATTAAAAAAACACGTAATATATTTTTTTAATTATATTATTT